ATGCTGGAGATTGCTGCCTTGAACAACCAAATCAAAACACACCTAAAAGACAGAACGGACATCATACAGAACCACAGGAAGGCTGGCTGAGTGGAAATTCTACAACTAGGAGGAAAGAGAATATCATTCCCAGACTCAGAGGAGGCACAGTGCTGAAGTGAAATACTCAGGTACGGAGTGTGCGCGGAGCGGGCTGGCGGCGGAGGGCGCGGTTTGTGCTTTCAATTGGGAGGGAGTCTCAGATTCTGAGCTCCAGATCCGGGTGAGTCTCTAGGGACCCAGACTCAAACGGGAGAAGCGGGACTGTCTGGCTTCAGTTGGAACTCGAAGGCAGCTTTCTCTCCGAGGTTTGCAGCGGTTGCTGGGACTCTGCGAGGCAGAGCCCCTAGGGACGGAACTGAGAGCCGCCATAACTGCTCTCTCCGGCCCACCCTGTTGATTCCGAGCCCGATCGACCCACCCGCCCCGCACAAGCCCTGCACAGAGCCATTTGCCAGATAGCCTCAGGCAAAGGCTAGATTAGCACCTCCCTAGAGGACAGAAGTTTTCCCACTGCAGACAGCTGATTCTCACAGCCAGCTGGCCTGGAGGTCAAATCCCCCTAGTATTAACTACAACAATCAAGGCTTAAACTACAACAATCAAGCTACAGGAGGACTGCACACAAAGACCACTAGGGGGTGCACCAAGAAAGCATAAAAAAATGTGGAGACAAAGAAACAGGACAAAACTGTCAATGGAGGATATTCAGTTCAGAACCACACTTTTAAGGTCTCTCAAGAACTGTCTAGAAGCCACTGATAAACTTAATGAGATCCTCAACAAATCTAATGAGACCCTCGATGTTATGATAAAGAACCAACTAGAAATTAAACATACATGGACTGAAATAACGAATATTATACAGACTCCCAACAGCAGACCAGAGGACCGCAAGAATCAAGGCAAAGATTTGAAATGCGAAGAAGCTAAAAACACCCAACCGGAAAAGCAAAATGAAAAAAGAATCCGAAAATACGAAGATAGTGTAAGGAGCCTCTGGGACAGCTTCAAGCGTACCAACATCAGAATTATAGGGGTGCCAGAAGATGAGAGAGAGCAAGATATTGAAAACCTATTTGAAGAAATAATGACAGAAAACTTCCCCTACCTGGTGAAAGAAATAGACTTACAAGTCCAGGAAGCACGGAGAACCCCAAACAAAAGGAATCCAAAGAGGACCACACCAAGACACATCATAATTAAAATGCCAAGAGCAAAAGACAAAGAGAGACTCTTAAGAGCAGCAAGAGAAAGAAACTCAGTTACCTACAAAGGAGTACCCATACGACTGTCAGCTGATTTCTCAACAGAAACTTTGCAGGCCAGAAGGGAATGGCAAGAAATATTCGAGGTGATGAATACCAAGAACCTACAACCAAGATTACTTTATCCAGCAAAGCTATCATTCAGAACTGAAGATCAGATAAAGAGCTTCACAGGAGAGAGCTGAGGCAACTAAGATGGCGGCATAGGTAAACACCGGGAAATTGTCGCCTCACACAACAATTGAAAATTACCGCAAAGGACTGAGCAAACATCATCCAGAACAACAGGAAGGCTGGCTGAGTGTAAATTCTACAACTAGAAGGAAAGAAAAGCACGCTGAGAGCCAGAGGAGCTGCGGAGGTGAAGTGCAGAGGTACGGCGGCTCGCGCGGGCAAGGAAAGGGGGTGGCGCCTGAGGACGCGGCTGTCTTCTTGAATCACAAACTCCCGACTGCTCTGAACTCCGGTTCCGGGAAGTCTCTGGGGACCCAGGACTCATACGGGGAGAGGCTGGTCTGTCCGGCAGCGGACGAACTAGAGGGCGGCTTTCCCTCAGAGGTGCTTGCAGCCGTTACCGGGACACTGAGACGCGTGACTCCGGGCGGAGAATCGGCCATAGCCCCCTGATCCGCCCTTTGACTCCCTGAGACCCCGCCCCACCCAGGCTGCGGCAGAGGCTTTTGCATGTGAATGTACCTAACTGCAGCCGAACCAGGCAGACCCTGAACTTCCAAGAGAAGGCCCAAGGCCCCTCAGCGGCTTGCATTGCTTCACAGCTGAGCCTCTTCGTGGCTCCTGCTGTGTGGCCTCAGGCAGAGGCTGAATTAGCACCTCCTTAGATCCAGGAGCCACTGTACCCAGTGGTCAGAGGGGGGCCATCCAGACTGCAACTCCTCAGATCCATAAGGGTCACACTCAGGGAGCAGACTCAGTGAGCACCAAAGCCCCACTGAAGCAAGTCTTGCCCCAGAAGGGTGTCTTCAGCACAGAAGTTCTCCCACTTTAGACACAGCTGATTCTCACAGCCAATTGGCCTGGAGGTCAATTCCTCCCAGTGATTCTACAACAACCAAGGCACCAAGAGTGCACCAAGAGTGTCCACCCCAGGTAACTGGGGAGGCAGAGCTACTGGGCCCTACAGGACACCTGGCGCACAGGGCCACTCTATCAACACAGGGAAGCTGCCAAAATGCGGAGACAAAGAAACAGGTCACAAATGGCAGAAATGGAGGAAAGCAAACGATTGGATATAGAGTTCAAGGCCACGTTTATAAGGTTTTTCAAGAATTTTATGGAAACCGCCGATAAATTTAATGAATCCCTCAATAAGTATAGTGAGACCATGGAGGACATGAAAAAGGACCAACTAGAAATTAAGCATACACTGACTGAAATAAAGAATAATTTACAGAGATCCAGCAGCAGACAAGAGGATCCCAAGAATCAAGTCAAAGATTTGAAATACAAAGAAACAAAAAATACCCAACCGAAAAAGAAAAAAGAAAAGAGATTCCAAAAATATGAAGATAGTGTAAGGAGCCTCTGGGACAACTTCAAGCGTACCAACATCAGAATTATAGGGGTACCAGAAGGAGAGAGAGGGCAAGATATTGAAAACCTTTTTGAAGAAATAATGACAGAAAACTTCCCCTACCTGGTGAAAGAAATGGACTTACAAGTCCAGGAAGCACAGAGAACCCCAAACAAAAGGAATCCAAGGAGGACCACACCAAGACACATCATAATTAAAATGCCAAGAGCAAAAGATAAAGAGAGAATCTTAAAAGCAGCAAGAGAAAGACAGTCAGTTACCTACAAGGGAGTACCCATACGACTGTCAGCTGATTTCTCAACAGAAACCATGCAGGCCAGAAGAGAGTGGCAAGAAATATTCAAAGTGATGAATAGCAAGAACCTGCAACCAAGATTACTTTATCCAGCAAAGCTATCATTCAGAATAGAAGGTCAGATAAAGAGCTTCACGGATAAGAAAAAGCTAAAGGAGTTCATCACCACCAAACCAGCATTATATGAAATGCTGAAAGGTATTCTTTAAGAAGAGGAAGAAGAAAAAGGAACTCTTACCATTTGCCACAGCATGGATGGAACTGGAGAGCGGATAAATACCACATGATCTCACTCATTTGTGGAATATAATGAACAACATAAGCTGATGAACAAGGACTGATCCAGAGACGGAGAGGCATTGATTGGACTGTCGGGACTTGGAGGGAAGGTAGGGGAGGGTGGGGGTAAGGGAGAAAGATCAACCAAAGGACTTATATGCAAGCATATAGGCCTAATCAATGGACATGGACAACGGGGGGGTGAGGGCATGAGCGGGGGGTGGGGGGTAGAGGGTAACGTGGGGACAAGGACACATATGTAATATCTTAATCAATAAAAAATATATTAAAAAAAAAAAGAACCTTGGAGAGCTACTCAAAAAGATAATTTAGCATTAGAGAATAAATTCTGATTTAGAAGAGTAAGTTATTTCTCTTATAATTCTGGATATAGTAAACATTGTCTTTCTTCTTGTAATGTTAAATTTTACTTAAAGATAAAAACCTTCTTTTTTGAATTTTGAAGGTTTTACTTGTACTGATGTAGAAATATGTCTATAATTCACTGTTAAGTAAATAAAGCAGATTTCAGATAAAAAAAAAAAAAAAAGAGCTTCACAGATAAGGAAAAGCTAAAGGAGTTCATCACCACCAAACCAGGATTATATGAAATGCTGAAAGGTATCCTTTAAGAAGAGGAAGAAGAAGAAAAAGGTAAAGATACAAATTATGAACAACAAACATGCATCTATCAACAAGTGAATCTAAGAATCAAGTGAATAAATAATCTGGTGATCATAATAGAATCAGGGACATAGAAAGGGAATGGACTGACTATTCTTGGGGGTAAAAGGGGTGTGGGAGATGCGGGAAGAGACTGGACAAAAATCGTGCACCTATGGATGAGGACAGTGGGTGGGGAGTGAGGGCGGATGGTGGGGCGGGAACTGGGAGGAGGGGAGTTATGGGGGGAAAAAGAGGAACAAATGTAATAATCTGAACAATAAAGATTTAATTAAGAAAAAAAAAATGTTCGACCAAAAAAAAAAATTAAAAAAGTTCTAAATCAAGATTGTGGTGGTGATTACATGATTATGCACATTTGCTAAAACTCATAGACTTGTACGGCTAAAATTTCTGAATTTTATCGTTATGTTAATTTCACCTCAAGAAAGAGAGAGTGAACACCTATCCTGTGTCATGTTCAGGATGCTGAGCATACAACAGAGAAAAAGATGACGCTTTTCCATCGGAGCTAACTTTCTACACACCTGTAAGTATGTAGCTGAAGTGGCCAAATGGGCAGCTTTCTGCCTCAATTACTTTCTATAACTCCCCTTGCCCAAAAAAGAAACGATAAAAACAACTCAAGCCCTAAACCATTAAGGCGCGTCTCGACACCGCAATCTACCCTCCAGCAAATCTGCAGCATACCCAGCGGGAGGGAGGGGAAGCCGTATCCCCGGCAACAAGAAGCTGGAACCGACTTCCGGCGGCAGCGCAGTTGCCGCCCGGATCCCGGAAGTTCTCCCGGCGACTTTGGTTCCGGCGGCGGCGCGGGGCGGGCGGAAGGCCGGAAGTTCGCCCATGGCTGTGGGTCCCGGCTGGCTTGCAGCCCAGGCCTGCCGGCGAGGTAAGATCGATACGGTCCTCCGTAGGCATGGCCTCGCCGGCGGGGGTCGGGGCTGCGGTCGCCGGCGCAGCCGTTGTCACGCTGCTCTCGGCCGCGCTCGCGTTCTATGGGCCGCCGCTGGACGCAGGTACCCGGCCGCGGGCCGCGCGTCCGGACGGGGGCGCCGGTGGGGCCGGGGCCGCGGAAGCAGGGTGGTGCGCGCGGCCTGTGGGCGGCGCGGGCGTTGAGGGGCCGGGGCCAGGCCGCGCGGGTCCGAGCTTTCAGGCCGGACGTGGCGAGAGTAACTGTCAAGGAGTTTGGCCCTTTGTTAGGCCTGGCGGGTCCGAGTGCTCTGAGAATTGAGGGGTTCCTCAGCTATGCGCCTCAGTCCTGCCAGCAGCAGAGGGGCTGCTGGGACCCAACTTATGGAGACTTTTTATTGGTAGCTGTTTGTCTCAAATTCACACACTGTGACTAGATTTCCTTTGAGTTTGAGGTTTCATTATTAGACCGACTTGCTGAACTTGACTAAAAACAGGTGGTTTTGCGCCCTGACTTTTATCCTCACTTTATTTTTTTAAAAATATATTTTATTGATTTTTTACAGAGAGGAAGGGAGAGGGAAAGGGATAGAGTTAGAAACATGGATGAGAGAGAAACATCGATCAGCTGCCTCCTGCACACCCTTTACTGGGGATGTGCCCGCAACCAAGGTACATGCCCTTGCCGGAATCGAACCCGGGACCCTTCAGTCCGCTTCAGTCCGCAGGCCGACGCTCCGTCCACTGAGCCAAACGGGATCCTCGCTTTAAGGCCCATCTCCGTTGACTTGAGCGCGGCTGTCGTGCGCTCCGAGTTGGTTATGGTCCATGTTAGTTTAAAGCGCGCTTCGCACAGAAAAACGTCGGTCTCACGGAAAGCTGTGAGTGCAGAGTTGTGTTTGTTAGGAATTCCTTGTTCACTTTTGAGTGGGCCTGAGTTACCTCACTGTGTAAATGAAATAAGGTGGTTTATTTTCTTCCCTGCCCTACCGCCTGTGTTTGAAGACTGTCTGTACCACATAGTGTCTCCTTCCACCTCTCCAGGTGCAATTCTAGAAAACAGCCCAGGCTTAAGAAATCTATGTGATTCCCCAGACTTCCTCAGCCACACTTCTCCCAAGCAGATAAAAACCAGGCCGGTTTTACCTGTTCTCCCAGACTCAGAATTGTTATGAAAACAAAGTTGCATAATAGGATAAATTTTAAGTCGCCTCTTGTCCAGGCCTTTTTGTCCTTCAAGACTTTGATATTTATATTTAAACTAGAGGTCGGGTGCACGGTTGCGTGCACCAGGTGGGTCCCTCGGCCTGTCCTGTGGGGATCTGTCCTGCAGGAATGGGCCGAAACTGGCTGACATCCTCCCAGGGGTCCCGGATTGCGAGAGAGTGGTTCTCGGGTGATGCGCCCCAGAATCAGGCTCCCTCCTCTCTGGTTTCGGGTGCATCACCTGAGAACCGTGGTGGCAACTCCTGCTTTGAGCGAATGCCCCCTGGTGGTCAGTGCGTGTCATAGCTACCGGTCGGACGGTCACTTAGGCTTTTATATATACAGTGGGGCTTTGACTTACGAGTGTCCTGACTAACGAGTTTTTTGAGATACCAGCTGCCTCTCGGCCGATTTTTTGCATTGAGTTGATAGAGTAATTTGAGTTAATGAGCTCCTTAACGCTCGGTCTCGGAACGAATTAAACTCGTAAGTCAAGGCCCCACTGTATAGATATTTCTGTGGATAATTCCTAATGGGGAATGTCAGTAAGCCAGCTGAAACAGATCCACTATGAAGTTTAGGGGAAATTTAACTGGCCTTTTCTTTGCCCCTTCCACTAACAGGAGCTCATCTCAGGTGAGTGGGACAGAACGCTGGCAAACAGTGTGGATTTTACTTTACATTCATACAGTTTCAGTTAAAAATTGAAAATACTACACTTCTCAACAGTGATTTTTTCCTCCTCTCCCAAATGGTTTCAGAAGGCATTTGAGGAGGAATTGACTCGACTTTTGGTTGGTGGAGTGAATATTTGGTTAAAGAAAAATTATTTCTTTTGCCTCAAAATGGCAACATTTTGGTAAAATGGTGTCTTCTGCCCTAGCTTATCCATTACTAACAGGCATCTTCAAAGGTTTGTCTCTCTGGGCCTCAGTTTCCTCATTTGTAAAAGAAGGATAAACCTAATGAGGAGAGGAAATCAAGATGCCTTTAATTCCTCAAGCATTTATTGAATTTCTTATTCTGTGCCAGACTCTGTTTGAGGCAATGGAGGGTTGGGGTCCAACATGGAAACATGTAGACCCTCCCGTTAAGCCACAGGAGGGAGGGATGCTGTACCACAGTCTGTGCAGGCAGAAGGTGCTGGGTGGTCTTAGGGATATTTTGTGGGAGTTAAGTGTTTAGTATAAAGTGATGGTCTGTAATAAACCCAAAACATAGGGAACTCAGAACAACCCTTGAGTGACTGGTAAGTTTAGATTCTATCTTTAACATTTCTAGCCTTTTTTTTTTTTTTTTTTACGCAATTGTGTTTATTGTTCTGGGGAATTGGAGGGAGTGGCATTCTCTAGTGTTCTTGTATTAACCAGTCATATTTATTATTAAGCTACATATGTTCAAGTTTGAAACATGCATGGCAAATATTTTCCTGACTGCATAAACTGCTCATCGGCAGTCAGAGATGCCGTCATTAAATCTGATCATAACAGCTCTGGATTCTTTCATGCAGCTCGTCAGGGAGCACCAGGAAAGAGCATTTCACAGTAACTGCATGGCAAAGGCTGCAGGCTGGGAATTCCGAGTGTGGATGGGTGTTCAGAAAGCTGGACATTTTGGTGGTGGGGGTGGAGTGAGAGTGGGCTCACTCCCTTAGCTCAGTGTCTCTGCCAAGAGGCTCTGAGTCGGATGGGAAGCAGCACTATGGACACCTCATTGGAGCAGAATGTGGCACGTGAGGAAAGACATTGGGAGTAGAGGATCAGCCAGTTGTGCTGATCCTTGCCTGAGCCTCGTTTACAGTGATTCTGTTTTGAGTTTTAATCCTGTGTTGGTTTAAAGGTGTTTGGGTTGAAGGTAATTAATATCCTCTTTGCATCTTGGGGTCTGAACATCTGATATATCAGCTAAAGAGGCATTTACATCTACTCATTAAAGAAAGTTACTTGAATAATTTTGTTGAATAAAAAGTAAAACTCTGAGAGTGTTATTAACCCCTAGAGTGCTGGGGAGCGCAATCGTACTCCTGCAGTGTCCAGTTCTAAGTCTGCTTTTATTAGTGATGATGATATTGCTAAATATGTAAATGTAGTAAAGGTTTCCTTAAGTTTTTGGATATGTAACTTCATTTACTTGTGATTCATAATTTTTTTTCCTAAACTGCTGTAAAATCAGCAAAAATGCCTTGGCAATTTTAGCATAGTTCCTAGAATATTGGTTGTCACTCAAAGGGTTAAAGGTAAAGCTGTTTGACCACGTGGAGCTGAGCCTGCTTCTGATCTTCACTTGAACTTGTGATCTGTGTCTAGTTTTTCTCAGCTGCTGAAATAATTGGAAGGATAAAAATATTGAGTGCCTTGTTTTCAAGAAAGGCCAATTAAAATTAGCTATTTAGAGGCAATTAAATTGCCTAGGAACCCAGTGTAAGATTTGTTCTATATTTAGAATACCATTTCTAGGTTATTTAATTAGTATCTAATTCAGTGTTGGAAAGATGACTGGGAAACTAAATAGGGAAATAATATGGGTCTAGAAGGTAACAAATGGGAGATTGCTTTTCCAGTTTGGGAGAAGAGATGTAATAAACTTAAGCTATGGTTGAAATGAAATATATGTAGTTTACTAATTAATGTATTTTTCAAAAACTTTGAGATTAAGTAGACTTCCTGAATGTCTGATACATTTAAAAAATAAACTTGACATATACAACATGTGTTAGTGTTGTAATTTCTGAACATCATTTGCTTTCAGAAATAAAATAATGGAACCAGTGGGTAAAAATCTGTTGAGTCGACTTGGGGAAGTATTTTGGTTAATGGACTATTTTAACTCTCTTTATATATACCAATAGATATTTACCATTCTAAGGAATTTTATTTTCCTGTTTTTCAGTTTTAAAAAGAGCATTCTCGCTGCATAAAGCACATTCAATAAAGGATATGGAAAATACTTTTCAATTGGTGAAAAATATTATACCTCCTCTAACTACCAAGAAGCACAAAGGGCAAGATGGAAGAATAGGCATAGTTGGAGGCTCTCAAGAGTAAGTGACTTGGAAAATGTTAATATTTAAACAGTTAATCTTTATTATCGGTCTGTCTACCTGCCTATCAGCCATCCAGTCAACTGCCCATTTGTTTAGTTGACCCCTCAGTAATTATTTCCAAATGTAGTCTGATATTATGACATTTGTTATTTTTCAGTGATGAACTTTAAGGTTGAATAGGAGAAAACTCTAAGGGGCCCTGATTGAGCTGTTCATTGGTGTGTGTTAGTGTAAAGATTTTTTGCCTGTGGTTGGGAGATGGGACTTTTTTTTCTTATCTTATACTTTTCTCTATTGATCAGACTTATACCATAAGCTTGTATTACTTTTGTAATGAGGATAAAAACACTCAGCATCTGCTTGGTTTACTTTGTTAATTTAAAAATATTCCTGGAAATCATTTACTAAATTGGACAGATCCTAGCTATTTTTAAGGCCTGTTCGCCTGGTTTTATATATTCTGCTGCTATGTTGTTTGACACGTAAAGATTTATAATTTGTCCATGCTCGCAAATGATACCTACTGCCTTTGACTTAAATTTGACCTTGGTTAGTATTTCTGTTTCTGCTTACATTCTGTGTGCTCTTTACCTAGCCCTGTATTTTTAATGGTTTAGGTAGTTGGCTATACTTATTTTAAATAATATATAACTAGATTTTGTTTTCTTACCCGATATGACTGACTGACAGTGACTACTCTTTTGTTTTTAATCCTCACCTGAGGAAATTTTTCCATTGATTTTTATTTGTTTGTTTGTTTGTTTTTTGTTTATTGGTTTCAGAGAGGAAGGTAGAGGGATAAGAAGTCTACTTAATCTTCTGCACGCCCCCTGTTGGGGATTGAGCCCGCAACTTGGGCATGTGCCCTTGACTGGTATCGAACCTGGGACCTTTCAGTCCTCAGGCCTACACTCTGTCCACTGAGCCAAACCAGCTAGGGCTCCATTGATTTTTAGAGAGAGTGGAATGGAGCGGAGGAGACAGAGAGAAACATTGATGTGAGAGAGACACATTGATTGGTTTTCTCCTGCACACGCCACAACCCGGGTGGGGATTGAGCCTGCAACCCATGTACGTGCCCTTGACCGGTGCCCTAGTCTGGAACCAGTCTGAGGACTGGCTCTCTATACATTGAACCAAACCGGCTAGGGCTAGACTGATTTCTTTATGAGTGGGTAAGTGAATATATGGTATTCATTGTACAGATGGGCCATAATTTATTTAACCAAGTCCCTGTTGATAGGCAGTTGGTTAACTCTATCCTTTTTTTCAATTAATCTGTCTGTAGACATCCCTTTACATATCTCCTTGTATGCCCATCTGGTTATAATCAAGGGAACAATTCCTAGAAGAATTTTTACTGGAGCAGAGTACATAGACATTTTAATGTCGATAAATATTGAAAATTGTTCTCCCAAAATTGCACTAGTGTGTGCTGCCATCAACAAGCACCTGTTCTCCCTAGCCAGTTTGGCTCAGTGGGGTAGACATTGGCCTGCAGACCGAAGGGTTCCGGATTCGATTCTGGTCAAGAGCACATGCCCAGGTTGCATGCTTGATTCCCAGTAGGATTCTCTCTCGTCATTGATGCTTCTCTCTCTCTCTCTCTCTCTCTCTCTCTCTCTCTCTCTCTCTCTCTCTCTCCCTCCCTCCCTCCCTCCCTCCCTCCCTCTCCCTCCCTCTCCCTCTCCCTCTCCCTCTCCCTCTCCCTCCCCCCCTCTCTCCCTCCCTCTTCCTCTCTGAAATCAATAAAAATATATTTTAAAAAACAAAAAAACAAGCACCTGTTCCCCTCACTCCCTATGGGTATTGGCAGCCTTTGCTCTCAAGTAGAAAAGCTATATTTTGTTGGTTCGGTGTATTTTTTTGGTATTGAGGCTTGCATTCGTGTTTTGTTGTGAACGAGTGTGAGCGAGTGTGTGTGTGGCATGCCCTGTCCTTTGGTGTTTCTGACACATTGGCCCTGCTCTGCAGGATAGTGCCATGGGTATAGAGTGCACCCTGCATTTCCCCAGTGTGTTTTTCCTGGGATAGCAAAACTTTTCACTGCTTGGAATTGACATAAAAGTTACAGTCCCCATCTAATGCTAAGTTCAAGGGTTTTTCTTTCTGTGCTTGAAGTGACCTTAAAAGTGGAGTTACAAGCATTCCAAAGCAGTAAGGATGGAAGCCAGAGGGAGATGTGAGAGTCTCTCCTTGTTTGGCCTGGGTGCCCCGTGTGGCCCTCCATCAAGATGGCCATTGCCTGTGCTTACTGTTGATCTCGAAGACTGGTCCTGCTCCCTGGGTACTGTCCAGTGTGGGGTGCTCTGGCCTGTGATCACCTCAGGCACACTCTCTCCTGGCAGATGCCTTCAGTAAACACTCACTGTCTTAAGTCTTCAGTTTTGGGGTTCTGGAAGCTAATTCCAGCATGTCATAAATGCAGAAAGTTTCATCAAAAGGTTGATGGAACTTGGGGATTCAGCAGGGCTGAATACATATTACCTGCCGTTGGAATATCTAAGGGCATTTCCCCACACCTAAAGATTCACATATATTATTACCTGCTACCAGACAGCTGAGGGCATTTTAATCTACATGTTATTGCCTCCTGCTGGCCAAACATCTGAACAGCCAGTAGGCAGTTCCCCCAAACTGACAATGCCTACTGTGTACCAAACTAACCTTTGATATGTATATCTACTTTGCTATAGGGCAAGATGTGGGAATAAAAAGGGCCCAGGGTCCAGAGATAGGGAGAACATGGTTACTGAAGCTAGATCTCCTCTGGCTCCCCCGTGAATTACAAATTTATATTATATTTCTAGTCTCTTTATTAATTTACACGCAGTGCCTTCTCCAGATTCCTGAACCTTTCTAGATGCTGGGAAAGACCCCTAGCATTATTGGGGGTGTTTTTTCCCCCCTAATGTAATATTCCTACCCATCTTCCTTGCTAACAAAGCTCGTTTTGTTCAGATGCTGTTACAATTTCTTTGACTTGCAGCTCTGTGCATTTCTGATAAATCAAGTACTTTTTATATCTATGTTTATATTAATCTAGAAAGAAGTGTCATCATTATAATATTAAGTCATCTTAGCCAGTGTACACCTAATGTATTCTTTAATAGATTTTAAAATTTTCCCCACAGTTATTATTTGTTTATATAAAGTTAATTCCTAGATGCTTTATGGTTTTTGCTGATATTGTAGATGCTATCATATTTTCTAATCTATTATTCCTAGTATAGAAAAATGCTATCTTTATCCTTTTTTTGGTTGATAGAAATCGGGCAACCTTGCTGAACTATTTTATATTAGATTTATTCTTTAACAACTTTATTGAGTTCTAGTTGATATACGATTGCATAAGTTTGACATATGTATAAACCCCTAAAACCATCAGTTTGCACATAGCCATTACAGGGAGACCGTAGTCACAGGAAGCCGGAATTTGCCCCTCCTGACATAGTATAAAGGTCTCAGGTGAAAGACTGACTTCTCTGGTTCTGATCCATGTTTATTGAACATTTACTGAGCACCTGCTAGGGGTTCGGCCCTGTGCTAGGTGCTTGACTGTTGTATGGTTTTTGTTGATAAACCTGGTGTGCTTGCCTCATTCTCAAGTTTTAGACTGTAAATATCTTCTTTTTAGGTACACCGGAGCCCCTTACTTTGCAGCAATCTCAGCTCTCAAAGTGGTATGTTTACTTATATCTTCTTTATTAGGAAGAGTTGGATTATTTAAATATGATTAAAGCAATGTTTTCCAATAAAAATCTACATAACATCTCCAGGTAATTATGGGTAAAAGAAACATCTTTAAATGTATTCTGACATCTTGTGCAGTGATAAAATAACTTCAAACTCATTTTTTTTAAAAATAAAGTTTTATTAGAATTGTACTTCACCAAAATAATCTTGGGACGCCTTTTAGTCCTAGCATAAGACATCTTTGGACTTTGGCAGTTGCTCATGCCTTTTGATCAAGTCCTAACCACCCAGTCAGCACAGTTACTGTGAATTGTGCTCAGCTCCATGACTGCATTGCTTCCCGTGAGCCTCAAGCTCAGTGAGGCAGCTTGAGCTGGTCTGGGTTGACCTGTCTCTTAGGCAGCAGTAAAAGTCTGCCTTTATTTCCGGCCTTTTCTTAGGTTATACCTTCTCAGCCTCCTCCCTGTAGTTTAACTGCTACAGTTGGTATGTTATTGTTGTTTACGGATAGTGCTATGTAATTTTCAATGATGAAAATGTTGAATGGCTGTTGTAGAAACCACTTTGGGTATCTTTTGAGTGATTCTCACATTAAGTTAGCCTCTTGTGCTCATTTCTCAGGGTGCAGATTTATCCCACGTGTTCTGTACCCGGGAGGCCGCACCTGTGATCAAGTCGTACAGCCCGGAGCTGATTGTTCACCCGGTTCTGTGAGTGAGGCTGCACATGGGGGCTTCATTTGCAACAACTCTCCTTGATCATTTGGTGTCTTTACAGACTCTAAGAGTTTCAGTTAAATAGCTTCCATACTGAGAGTTGGTAGGTAGACTGTTTCAGAAGAAAGGAGGAAACTATAATGAGCCCATTGTCTATGGTCAGAAGAAGACAGTCATGTGGGACAACATGAGATAAGGTCTGAAGGGTGATGTGCCCAGAGCTGGCCCCTGTGTCCTGTCAGAAATGAGAGTCTGTGGGCCTGCCTGTGGACAGTGCACGTATGGCAGGAATGAGGGGCCTATCGGGCAGTAACAAAACTGTTCATCATTCAGCAGATCTTTCGTGCAGGCCCTGTCCTGGGTTCTACAGGGACAGCATTGCACCGAGCAGACAAAAACACCTGCTCCCATGCCCTAGAACTTCCTTCAATGATGAACATGTTCTCCCTTGGTGCTGTCCAGCACTGTGGCTGCTGACCACATGGCTACTGAGCACTTAAAATGTGGCCAGTAGGACTTAGGCACTGAGTTTTTACTTTAATTTTAATTAAATTTAAAAGCCATGTGTGGTTAGTATCTACTGTATTGGACAACAGCTCTGGAGATGGACAAACAAGATAAGAGTGTGTCAGAGGGTGATAAGCACCATGGGGAGATGGGAGCAGGGAAGGGGACACACTGTGACTGCGTGTGGCGCATGTGCTATGTGTGCAGTTTTTAATAGGGTGGTCATGGGTACAGCAAGGGGCAGTGAAGTAAAGGCTTGAAGACGGTGAGGGAGCAAGTTCTACAGACATGGGGAATGCGGGGAGGCCCTTACATACACAGGAAGAGCTGCTGCAAGAGCTCAAGCTGCAGCTGTGTTGGGGAGCGCTCGGGTACTTGGTGACCAGAGGTTCAGAGCCAGGCTTAGCAGGTTATGGGGGTCATTGTAAGGTTTTGGGCTTTTGTATAAATGAGAAGGAGGCTGCTGGAGCATTTGAGCAGGGGAGGGACAGGACGGTTTACGTTTTAAAAGGCTTATCTGGCTGCTGTATTGAGTATAAGCTTTGGAGCCCAGGGTGGAAGCAAGAGTCCCACTAGGAAGCTGTTGTGAGGATCCTGGTGATGGTTACATGATGAGGTAGAAACTGGACAGTGGGTCACGTTCTGGGTACATTTGAAAAGTACAGCACCAGGATCTGCTGAGGGGTGGGACATGGGATACAAGGAAAAGAAGACAGTCATGAATGCCACCCAGGGTTTGAGCTGAGCGAGTTCTCATTTAATGTGGTTGGGAAACTGGGGGAGCAGGTTTGGGCGGGGGTGATGGTCAGGAGTTGGGGGTTTTGGACATGTTTTTAGTTGCCTGTTAGATAGCCAAACAGGTATGGCTGGTAAGCATGGGATAGGAGTGGGGCAGTCAGGGAAGGTGTACATCTGGGAGTTGTTAATGTGTGGGTGGCGTTTAAAGCCCAGAGACAAAAATGAGCCACACAAGAGTGCATGTAGGCAGGGAGGACCCGTTTGGGAACACCTGTTTGGGAGCAGATCTGTGGGGAGCTGCAAGAGGCCAGGGAGGGGTGTCCTCAAGTCGAGTGAAGAACTGTTTGCAAACTATTCTAGAAGGGCCTTCTAGTCACTGATAAGGATTAAGAATGGGTGGTTGGATCTCACAGTATAGGGGTCATTGGTGACTTTGACAAGGGCAGCTTATGAGGAGCAAAGCCTTATACAGTGAGTGGGTTCTAAGAGTAAGAAACGAGATGATGAACAGGAAGGTGTTGTGAAAAAAACCAACAACAAAATTCTGTGCAGCTGTCAGGTCTTGTTCTAAAGGAGGGCCCTTTTAATGTTGTAAAGGAATCAGTCACACGACCCTTTTAGATTGACTTCCCCAGTGCCTGATGTAGGGGATAGTCTCTAAGTGTAAAGTCTACACTGTTACCTGTACTCCTGTGTGATGGAAACAGACTGGCCAAGATAATTTTGAAATTAGCCATAATGTCTTATTCTGATGTGTTTAAATTTTTATTTCATGAGCCTTTTTTTTTTTTTAAACAAGGAGAAAAAAGGTGTTATGTTTATAGCTATATACCCTGTACTATTGACTCTGTTTCTTATGGGAAGGAAGTTCTGTTTTGGCTCAGCTTTGATGAGACCCACATCCTCTGCTTACCTTTGCAGATTTTATAGAACCATATGGACCACTTGAATAAATTGCTAAGGACCCTCCCAGGGCCTTGCAAGGGGCCCAGCAAATGAGAGGCTCTGATGCTTGAGTTTCATTACAGTGAAATGCCTCTACTTTTCTCATGTCATTCACTTACTGATACTGTGTTCAGCCAGACTGGTCTTTGCCATTTCCCATAAGTGAGCACTTTCTCACCGTATTTCCTGCTAATGCCACTCCCTCCTTTACCTTGTCTGCTTACTCCCAGAGGGTATGGCTTCCTCTTCAAGCCTTTCAAGTGGAGGTGGCTTTTCCTTTGACCCCTCATGTACCACTGGGACTAGAGGTGGGATGTGCTTCGTCCTTGTTCCTCATTGCTCCTCCCAGACCATTGCCCTGCTCTCATTCCTGAAACCTTCTGCTCCTTTGAACTCACACCGTCAGGCTCTGCTACCCACTACTCATGGCAGCTATGTCAAATCCCTGGATCATTCCTTGAATATTTAATATCTGGCCCAGTGTCTCTCTCCACTATTGCTCTTACAAATTAGCTATTTTTAATGTGTGTAACTACTTTATTGTGCCATAGCTTACTATAAAATTCACTCATTTTAGTTGTATAATGATCTTTGATGTATTTACCGAAGTGTTGCTGTCACCACAATCTAATTTTAGAACACTTCCATCACTCCAACAAGAAAACCTCTGCCCATTACCACCCCTAGCTTGAGGTAACTTTATCTTTCTGTCCCTATAGATTTGCCTTTTCTGAACATTTCATATGAATGAAATCATGCAATATGTGGTCTTTTGTGTCTGCCTTTTTTCACTTAGCATGTTTTTGAGTTTCATCATAGCATATATCCATACTCCATTCCTTTTTTTGTTTGTTTGTTTTTTAAATAAATTTATATCTCCTATACCCATTGCGCCTATCCTCACCCTCCACTTTCCCTTCTTCTGGTAACCACAAATATGTTCTTTGTATTTATGAGCTTGTTTTTTTAAATTTTAAATCTTACATATAAATATATTTGTCTTTCTCTGTCTGACTTATTCACTTATTTTCCCTGAAAGGCATTTAAATATTGAAAGCTAGACATCTATGTTGGGGTGTTAAAAGATGAACCAGTTTCTATGGAGACGATTAGGAGATTTGCTGGCTAAGTGCAGGGTGGAGTCCTAGAACAGGAAAAGGACATTGGGGTGGGGACTGGGAAAATCTGGAAAAATCTGTAGTTTCATACTAAACAAATAGATGAAATCGTAAGTAAAATGTTCTGCCCTTCTTTTCCTTATTTAGTGACAGTCCCGATGCCGTTCATGAAGTAGAAAAGTGGTTGCCCCGACTGCATGCCTTGGTTGTAGGACCTGGCTTAGGCAGAGAAGAAGCTCTTCTCGAAAACGTCAAGGTAAGTATAGAATTACGAAACAAACTTCCGCTGATAGAGTGGATGCTTAGAGCCCAGGAAGTCAGGACAGAAACATTTTTCTTCAATTTCTGTTGGTTAGTGGTCTGTGTGCCTTGTCATAGATTAAGAAGGATAAAATTTGGTTTGAAAGATAGAGGAGGAACTAGGCATAAAGATGGTAATGAACTTAAAAATAAAAACCAGACTGAAGGAAACTTTTTATTCTTGGGGCACTGGCTTTTTCATACTGTAGCAGGTGGAAATCACTGTGGAATCGTTCAGATGTTTTGCTTCATGGGTGTTTATGTGGTTTACACTTGAGGTGTTGGGAAATCCCAGCATCCAGACTGAGCCGTGTTAGCAGTGGGCAGGGTTTGGGGTCAGGCTCGGGTTCATCTTCCAGCACGATTCCTGTCCGACTGGGCCCCTGGCAGCTTGATCAGTCAGCCTCCTAGGCCTTGTGCTTTCCCTCTCAAGGGGTGATGTGCCCCAGGAGTTACTGAGAGCCACATTTTATGAAGTGCTTCAGGCTCTTGGTGTTGCAAAGTGGGCACAAGACCCTAGTTACACACACATACATATATGTTCATTTACTTTTTCATTTATGCTGTTCTTTATTACAGAAAATTTTACTTTGTGTCTGCCTTACTCTAAAAAGATGAAAATTTTTTATCCTAAAAAAGTTAAAATAGCCCTAACCGGTTTGGCTCAGTGGATAGAGCGCCGGCCTGCGGACTAAACGGTCCCAGGTTCGATTCCGGTCAAGGGCATGTACCTTGGTTGCGGGCACATCCCCAGTAAGGGGGTGTGGAGGAGGCAGCTGATCGATGTTTCTGTCTCATCGGTGTTTCTAACTCTCCATCCCTCTCCCTTCCTCTCTGTAAAAAAATCAATAAAATATATATTTAAAAAAAAGTTAAAATATATACCATCCAGAACCGGGGAATGGGTAACGAGCATGCCAGTCCCATGTTCTGTGTGTTCTTGCTGCTCGGCAGCCTTTGACACTTCCAGGGCTTTGCTCTCGGGTGGACACATGTTGGGGACTGCCCAGCACCAGCCCCAGAGAAGGCCGTGCAGTGTACCCTATGTGAGGTGGTACTGTAGCCTCAGGAGGTTGGGAGTGAGCTCCAAATCAGAGAATGTGCCTGGTACCCTCAGATGGTGCTTGTCCTTATGCCCATTAAAGGATTCGAAGTCATACGAAACATGATTTAGCATCCTCATCGTCATTAACTGAGAGGGCTCTTTTCAGCTCAGCTTTTGCCTATTGAATTAAATTCAACAACAGAGTTAAAGGAAGGTGTAGGTAGCTGTGTGTTGGTTGTACACTCTTAGCAGTCTGATTAGTAAAGAACATTTTTAAAAGGACGTGTGTTTGCTTTGCTAGAATTTAGTGAGAACCTGATATCTTCCATGACAGATCTTCCAGTTCCAGCCTTTGAGGTAAAAGTTGGGGTTTGAAATTGTACTTTCCTCAAACCTGAGAAAATCACTTAGAAGAAATGGAGCTATGACAAGTGACAGGTGATTGGATTTGAGCAATAAATTTGTTTTTGACTTATAATTGAAAGTAGATACATTTATTATTGCCTCTTTCAAAGGGGTTGATTAAAACGTGTGTATCCTCTAGAGTACATTATGCTGAGTGAAATAAGCCAGCTGCAGAAAGACATACTGCATGATCTCATTTCTGTATGGAGTCAAAATAGTTGAACTCATAGAGGCAGAGAGTAGAAGGGTGACAGCCAGGGACTGAGAGGTGTTGGTCAGAGTGTCCAAATTTTCAGTTAGGCAAGATGAGTAAGTTCTGATGTAGAATGTGGTGACTAGAGTCAACAGTGCTATATTGTATATTGAAATTTGCCAAGAGACAGGGAGATCTTAAGTGTTAGCTTAATTAGCTTGATTGTGGTGATTATGTCATAATGTATCAAAACATCAGGTGTACACCTTGAATTTATACAAATTTTTGTCAACTACACTTAAGTAAAGCTGGAAAAAACCTACGTATCCTGAGTTATGCCTGAGAATGGGTCTTGGGGTGCCTGCTTATATTTCTCTTCTATGTCTCATACTACTTTGCATTTAAAAGTTGTTCATTTAATGAAAATGCTCCAAACAAAGAAAAGGATCCAGCTGCCTAGAACTGGAAGTCTGTGGGGTGCTGGGCTATTGAGTAGTTCTGAACAGAATGCCCTGTGCTTCACTGGACTCTGAAATTTGAAGCTGTGATAATAGACGCCTGGGGGAGGGATGGGCAGCTACTCACTCCTGTCACAAAGAGCTTGCCTAGAGAGAGAGATGCACGAGCCAGCAGTTGTACATTCAGGGTAAATAATCTGAGAGGCTGTCAAATAAAATTTAAAAGTAGCTCTAGATGACACATTGTGCAAAGTAGAGGATTTAATTTAGGATTCTCCTGGCCTTAAGCCACCTGGATTAGCATGGGGTGTGCAAGTTTGTCAGGCCGCACCATTCAGATATTTGAAAGTCTTAACCTCTTACTGAGAAGTAGAAGTTAATCATGGTTGAGAAGGGCTAGGGCCTTCGGTTTCTCCAAGGTGAGACCCTCCTGGGGAATTCCCCTGCGTAAACCTCTGAGATGCACTTGGTGTCCTGAGTCAGTGTGCTCTGCACAGGTCACAGGAGGTCTGGCAGTGCCTATTCACTGGGTGATTGTCTTTGCAAAGAGGCAAATAAGGGTTCCTGTAGGTCCTATCAGCGACGGAATTTATAGATATTTTCTCTCATTCTGTGGGTTGTGTTTTCATTTCCTTGATGGCATTGTCTGCAGCACAAATTTTTAATTTTGATAAAGTCCACTTTATCTGTCTTTTCTTTTGTTACTTATGCTTTTGGTGTCTTACCTAAGAAGTTTTTTACCTGACCCAAGATTTACTTTCATATTTTCTTATAGAGCTTTATTGCTTTAGCTCTTATAGTTAGGCCTGTGGTCCATTCTGAGTTAATTTTTGTTTATGGTCTAAGGAAGGGGACCAGCTTTTTTTCTTTTGCAAGGGGATATCCAGTTGTTGCAGCACCATTTGTTGAAAAGGCTCCTCTTTCCTCCAGTGACTTATCTGGGCATCCTTGTTGAAAATCAGTTGACATAAATGTAAGGGTTTATTTCTGGGCTCTTGTTTCTGTTTCATCGGCCTATATGGCTGCACTGGGGCCAGCACCACGCTCTTCATTACTACAGCTGTGCTGTGTGTTTTGTAGTGGCAAAGCATGGAGCACTCAAACGTTTTTCTTTTTAAGCCTGTTTTGGCTATTCTGGGTCCTGTGCATTTCCATGTGAGTTATTTTTTATATTATGTATTTTATATTTATGTTATATTTTTTATATTTATTATGTCAGACCATATATTATGTTAATCGTAATATTTTTTATTTTAAATAATTTAGTAGCTACATCATAATATACAGTATGTATTTAGCTAGTCCATTTAGGCTGTTTACAGCTTTTCCTATTCATAATGTCTTGAATACACACACACACACACACACACTCACACACACACACACAGTGGCCAGATTATTATGACCACCTGACGTTTGTAGGCAAATTAGCTATAATTTCGCGATGAAGTTGCTAGAGGGCCAGACCATTATAAATAGGGAAGCAGGTTGTTTACCACAACAGTAGAAGTGATTTTTTTCTGAAGATGTGGGTAAACAACGCGATTTAACAGCCTTTGAACGTGGGATATATATTATTATGAGTGGCCAAATTATTATGACAACCTGTCGATTGTAGGCAAATTAGCTGTACACTGCATTGTATGGGATATGGAAGCCGAAGGCCTGTTGGAACACCTTTTCTGTCTGCAGTTACCAAGATAAAATGTCTCCAATTCGCACAGGAACACAAGGATTGGACAGTGGAGCATTGGAAAAAGGCATTTGGTCCAATGAATCACGTTTCCAGTTGCATCATGCAGATGGCAGAGTGAGAATTTGGCAGAAACAGCATGAAAGCATGCACCCCACATGCATGAGTACAACCCTTCAAGCTGGTGGGGGCAGTGTTATGGTTTGGGGCATGTTTTCCTGGCATGATTTGGGTCCTTTAATTCGTGTGGAACAACGTCTGAATAGCACAACATACCTAAGTATTGTTGCTGATCAGATTCGGATCATGTTGATGGCGTATCCCAATGGAGATGGCTTCTTCCAACAAGACAATGCGCCATGCCACGGTGCTCATATTGTGCAAGAGTGGTTTCAAGAACATGAGGGAGACTTTACCTTGCTTGAGATCAATCCAATCTCAATCACCAGATCTCAATCCAATTGAGCATTTGTGGGACGAAGTTAAAAGAGCCATCAGGCAGCTGGTTCCACAACCATCAAATCTCACAGAACTAGACAGTGCTATTCATCAGGCATGGTGTCAGATTCCTCGCATCACCTTTCAACATCTCGTGGAGTCAATGCCAAGAAGAATCGCCGTAGTATTGAAGGCAAAAAGTACCCAACGGAGTACTGATGGGGTGGTCATAATAGTCTGGCCATTCCCATTCAGATATATCCCATGTTCAAAGGCTGTTAAATTGCATTGTTTACCCATATCTTCAGAAAAAAATCACTTCTGTCGTGGTAAACCTGCTTCCCTATTTATAATGGTCTGGTCCTCTAGCAACTTCAGCGGGAAATTACAGCTAATTTGCCTACAAACGTCAGGTGGTCGTCATAATCTGGCCACTCAGTGTATGTATATGTATGTGTGTGTGTGTGTGTGTGTGTGTGTACACACACACACACTTGTCTATTTCTGTTAGGTATTTTCTTTAGGGTAAATTCTGCAAGTTCTGTTGCTGAATAAAGTGCTGTTAGCAATCTTCTGTTCCACCAACAGGCTGTCCTTGCCAGGACTCTGCTCTGGGGTGCTGTTGTCATTCTTTCCCACTTCCACCTGGTCTTTTACATGAGAATGCTGCTTGTTGTTTTTTTGTTGTTGTTTAAAGGCGGTTGAGGTTGAGACCTTTGAATTTTCTTGACTGCTTTATATTTTTTTTTTCTTTTCATGTTTCTTTTTTTTTTAATTAAATCTTTATTGTTCAGATTATTACATTTGTTCCTCTTTTTTCCCCCCATAACTTCCCTCCTCCCAGTTCCTGCCCCACCCTCCGCCCTCACTCCCCACCCACTGTCCTCATCCATAGGCGCACGATTTTTGTCCAGTCTCTTCCCGCATCTCCCATACCCCTTTCCCCCCCAAGAATAGCCAGTCCATTCCCTTTCTATGTCCCTGATTCTATTATGATCACCAGATTATTTGTTCACTTGATTCTTAGATTCACTTGTTGATAGATGCATGTTTGTTGTTCATAATTTATATCTTTACCTTTTTTTCTTCTTCCTCTTCTTAAAGGATACCGTTCAGCATTTCATATAATACTGGTTTGGTGGTGATGAACTCCTTTAGCTTTTCCTTATCTGTGAAGCTCTTTATCTGACCTTCAGTTCTGAATGATAGCTTTGCTGGATAAAGTAATCTTGGTTGTAGGTTCTTGGTATTCATCACCTTGAATATTTCTTGCCATTCCCTTCTGGCCTGCAAAGTTTCTGTTGAGAAATCAGCTGACAGTCGTATGGGTATTCCCTTGTAGGTAACTGAGTTTCTTTCTCTTGCTGCTTTTAGGATTTTCTCTTTGTCTTTTGCTCTTGGCATTTTAATTATAATGTGTCTTGGTGTGGTCCTCTTTGGATTCCTTTTGTTTGGGGTTCTCTGCGCTTCCTGGACCTGTAAGTCTATTTCTTTCACCAGGTGGGGGAAGTTTTCTGTCATTATTTCTTCAAATAGGTTTTCAATATCTTGCTCTCTCTCATCTTCTGGCACCCCTATAATTCTGATGTTGGTACGCTTGAAGCTGTCCCAGAGGCTCCTTACACTATCTTCGTATTTTCGGATTCTTTTTTCATTTTGCTTTTCTAGTTGGGTGTTTTTTGCTTCTTCGCATTTCGAATCTTTGACTTGATTCTTGCGCTCCTCTGGTCTGCTGTTGGGTGTCTGTACAATATTTTTTATTTCAGTCAGTCTATGCTTAATTTCTAGTTGGTTCTTTATCACAATATCGAGGGTCTCATTAGATTTCTTGAGGATCTCACTACATTTATCGGCAGTCTCACCAGTCTTTTCGAGGGCCTTACTAAGTTTATCAGCAGCTTCTAGACAGTTCTTGAGAGACCTTAAAAGTGTGGTTTTGAGCTCTATATCTTCCATTTCTGACATTTGCGTCCTGTTTCTTTGTCTCCGCATTTTTTTATCTTTTCTTGGTGCACCCCCTAGTGGTCTTTGTGCGCAGTCTTGTTGTAGTTAAGCCTTGATTGTTGTCGGCAATAGTGGGGGTGATTTGACTTCCAGGCTAACTGGCTATGAGAGTCCACTGTGTCTGCAGTGGGAGAGCTTCTGTGCTGGATCTCTAGGGCGGTGCTAATCTAGCATTTGCCTGAGGCTATTCGGCAAATGGCTCTGCGCAGGGCTTGGGCGGGGCAGGTCCCAGGGGATCTAAAGGGCGGGCCAGAGCGAGCAGTTATGGCTGCTCTCAGTTCCGTCCCTAGGTGCTCTGCCTCACAGAGTCCCAGCGACCGCTGCACACCTCGGAGAGAAAGCTGCCTTCGAGTTCCGACCAAAGCCAGACAGTCCCGCTTCTCCCGTTTGAGTCTGGGTCCCTAGAGACTTGCCTGGATCTGGAGCTCAGAGTCTGAAACTCCCTCCCGATTAAAAACAACAACCGCGCCCTCCGCGGCCAGCCTGCTCCGCGGGCACTCCGCACCTGAGTATTTCACTTCAGCACTGCGCCTCCTCTGAGTCTGGGTATGATATTCTCTTTCCTCCTAGTTGTAGAATTTCCACTCATCCAGCCTTCCTGTGGTTCTGGATGATGTCTGTTCCGTCTTTTAGGTGTACCCTTGAATTGGTTGTTCGCGGCAGCAATCTCCGGCATTAACCTATGCCGCCATCTTGGTTTTTTTTCGACCGCTTTATTTTATTATTTTTTGTTATTAATCCTCACCCAAGGATATTTTTTTCCATTGCTTTTTAGAGAGAGTGGAAGGGAGAGGGGGGAGGGGAGAGGGAGAGAGAGACAGACATCGATTGGTTGCCTCCCTCACCCCTCACCCCTCCGCCTCCAGAGCCAGGATTGAACCTGCAACCCAGGTATATGCCCTTTACCAGGAATTGAACCCGTGATCCCTTGGTGCACTCTAATCACTGAGAAACACCGGCCAGGGTGCTCCTTGTCTTATTTTAACTGTGTCCTATTGGAGATGTCACACTGCTTCTCAACCTTCCTCCAGTCTTTTTTGATCTGGGTGTGACTTGTTCATTCCTGTGCCATTCTTCTTTTAAATTATTAACTAGATGGTGGGTGAAGCTGTGGTTTTGGAGAGTGATAGTAATGTCATCAGCCAGCCTCACTTGGAACTGTGGCCTTGTTATAAGTGTGTACTCGTGGCTTTGACTGATGCTAACTATTATCAGCCATTGTTGCAAATGCAGTGCCTTCATACAAATCTGAGTGATGGAAGCAAGTCAGTCCTTAAATGGGCGACTTTGATGTCTGATTCTGTGTGGTGCTCTTAAATTGTGCCAGGAGACCTGGGTGGTTCGTGATGTTACATTTTCCCTGTACATTTCCCAATGTTTGAATATTCACTTTAGTCTACGGTGGCTTTTGGATTTGTTTTTGTTTTTGTTTTTTGAGAACTTTAATAGGAAAAATACAAAGAGGCGAACATTTTAGTGTTGTGGCCAAACACTGAACAGAGATTCAAACATGACACCAGAGATTCAGAAATCTGAATCAGCAAAAGCCAAATCAGTTTTAACAGTCAAGCCAAACTAAAGGCAAGAAGAGTATTTTCATTGTTAAAGAAGGAAATAGGCTTCTGTGAGGCTCCCATACCCTGATACCTCTTTGAAGGGGCTTTTGAAAACGCTCCCAACTCTAACCAGTGTTAGCAAAGTCCGATGAGACTGTTGGGCAGGGCCGCTCGTGCTTTGTGGGCTTTCACATTTCATTTTCAGGACTATCACTTTTAATTAAACATATATGGATTTATCTTTCAATGTTTTAAGTTATTTCTGCTTACCATATATTTTATTTTATTCTCTCATGTTTTCTATCAGGTGTATAAGGTAGAGATTTTTACATGCTAATGCAATAGGTAATCCTCTACTGGTTAATAATAATAAGCAACCATATGCTGATCATATATACAGGATGGAGCAAATGTAGGTTTACAGTTGTTCATATAGAAGATAATACAATCCTATGTAATAAAGAACTAACATGCAAATGGTCATCACGCCTTCACACCATCACGCCATAACGGCTCAGACACTCAACACTGGGGAGAGAGGGATGGGGACCAGTCAGTTTGCGGCCCAGGAGAGGGACAAGCTGCCTACCCCACAGTCCCGGGTGCCAGTGGCTGCACCTGTGCCTGCAGCCTGGGAGAGGGACAAGCCACCCACCCCGCGGTCCCAGATGCCTGTGGCTGCAGCCTGGGCGAAGCCGCCCGCCCATAGTCCCCTGCAGCTGTGGCCGGCCCGGGTCCTGGGTGCCTACAACCAGTCAGAGGAGGGAATCTTGGGTCCCGGGTGCGGGGCGAGGCAGAGGTGGTTAGAGGCGATCAGGCCAGCAGGGGAGCAGTTAGGGGCAATCAGGCCAGTAGGGGAGTAGTTAGGGGCGATCAGGCAGGCAGGCAGGCAGGTGAGCAGTTAGGAGCCAGCGGTCCCGGATTGTGAGAGGCAGTTGGATATCCCCCGAGAGGTCCCAGATTGGAGAGTGCAGGCTGGGCTGAGGGACCCCCCCCCCCCCCCGCACGAATTTCATGCACCGGGCCTCTAGTTAATAATAATACAAGAATAAACTGCTTTGCGTACTCACAACTGTAAATCTGCTTTTGCCACACTCTGTATTTTTTAAATGTTCTAATTTTTTTAGCAAAAAACCTCTGGAACTTTGAGTATAACCTTTTCAGAGAGAAATTATTTTCTTTTTATTATGATTACTCATTATTGTAAAACACATGACGTGAAAAATACATAAAAGCTATGTGAAAAATACATAAAGCACATGAATATGAAAAGCTGGTAATTTGGGGAATTCCCAAGACTTCAGATTTCTCATTTCTGACTCCTGAGGATTAATAGCTATTAGAGATCTGGAGACACTAGCTTGGAGTTGGCCTTCATGGGCTAGCCGGGGACCCAGCACTGCGTATGATGTTGCCCGTGGGCTGATGTTTTGAGAGTTGCCTATGCTCTGTCAGTTCATTGGAGTCTTTTCTGTTTATTTAGGCAATTACCTTATTATTTCCTTTCTATTTGTTGATAAGTTAATGTTGAAATTCATCAAGGAACTGCTTGGTTTTCTTTTAATTCCTCGGAGAGATAATGGCCTTGGTTGCTCAGCATAGCTCTCTTTTCTCACAGGGCATTTTAGAAGCATCAAAGGCCAGAGCCATCCCTGTCGTCATTGATGCAGTGAGTGTGGCCTCTCCTCTCCTGTCCCCTCATAGCCGGGTGCCCAAGGCCATGCAGTAAATGGGAGTCCTTGTTCTGTGCAGGACGGGCTGTGGCTGATAGCTCAGCAGCCGACCCTCATCCAAGGCTACCAGAAGGCCGTTCTCACTCCCAACCACGTGGAGTTCATCAGGCTGTCTGAAGCTGTGGTGAGTTTGTTGACCACTGGAAAGACAGAGTGCAAGCCCTCCTCATCCTGAGGAGGGGCAAGGGACACGCTCTGTGGTTCTGCACCCATTGGGCCCCTCAGGTGGGTCTGCAGGGACAGACTTGCAGATGTGGGGTGGATGCGTGCACATTCTACAATGCATTTCTCATGTGCTAACAGTGTTGTGGTTTTTTCCTGGTGGTGGGTGTAATGATGGGACATCTTCCAATCAGTGCATCTTTGATGCGATGAAAGGCAGGGTGGTGTGCTCTGGGCAGTCAGTCGCCCCTCCTGCTTTGTACTCTGGGCAGATAACTCCATCCCTATCCTGTATTACCTCACCTGTGGAATGTGGATAATGAGAGCCTCTGCCTCATACTGTATGTGAGGATGAAATGAAATAATACATTAAATTCACGAGTCCTTACATATCAAGTGCTTCATAAATATTAGTGCATTATCATTTGATGTTGAATCCCTTCTGCAGACCTTTAAAATCCCAGCCAGGAGCAGTGTTCTTTACCTTTGATCTGACAAGATATGGGACAGCCACCAGTGCAATATTTCTATCTCGAGCCTCTGTGCTGCATCCACTGAGGCCTCTCCAGCTGGTGGATGGAACGTGTGTCTTTGTATGGAGGGCCGTCTTGTGCCGGGGGATTCCCTTAGATGTGAGAGTCTGAGGATCAGGATGATGTTCACTGTATCCACATTTGTGGGCTCCTGTCAAATGTCTGATGACAGCTCTGCCTGTGGTGTCCTGCATTATAGCTGAGAGACCCCGTGGATAGCAGTGATCGCCGTGGAGCTGTGCTGAGACTCAGCCAGGCCCTGGGGAATGTGACTGTGGTCCAGAAAGGGGAGCAGGACGTGATCTCCGATGGCGAACAGGGTGAGTGGCCTCGCGCTTCACCAAGTGTGGCCATGTGGGTACAGCCCTAGGAAAACCTTGTTCACACATGTTCGCACATCACATGTGGTCCCTCCTATCTTACGTGCTCACACATCATATGCATCACATGTTCCACAGACAGAGGGACTTCCTGATGAGCTTGTTAACCACAACTTCTTCAAAGTCCATTTTCATTTTTCACTATTTTGCAAAGGGAAGTAATACCAGGATCAGTGGCTAAAGTTCTGTTAATGATTGATAAGCAGCAGCCCAGTGGGAAGGTGGCTGTAACAGCAGGTGGTGCTCCAGAGTTCACACCCTGCCACCTCTGTCTTGCCTGCAACATACATGAAGTTACTTGAATATTTTACTGCATTTGTCCTATTTTATAAAAATGACAGGAAAGTGAAGAAACCCCAGGAGCTGACACTAGTGGAAATCTCCAGGTGATGAATGTGACAAATCTTCCGGTCACATTCTTTCCATAGGAGTTTGTGGACCGTTTAGTGAGAGCAAGATGGGCTGTCACACTTGCTCATATCTACACAATGATGTTCATAACCAGAGACTGTATAACATCTCTAGCTCCCTGAAAACATAAAAATCTGATCCACAGGCAAAAAATTCACCAGTTATTTTAACAGAATTTAATACAAAGAACAGTCGCCTAAGTATAGAGTTGCTGACTAGATCACAGAAATCAGGGCCAACAGAGAACAGAAGGCATCCTTACTCACCTATGTCTCACTTTGTCTCTCTCACATGCTGGGCAGGAGACAGAGTGAGTGTTCTCTGAGGGATCCTGAAACCTTTGTGTTCTTTTATTGCTGGATGGTGCTCTCACACATTCAGAACATATAATAACCTGTTTCCAAGGTATTTTCCAAAGAAATAGAAATTTCTTATTACACAACAGAAATGAAGTCATGAGGACTAGCCCATGCAGGAGGCGCCAGCTTTGTGTGCATGTTATTTAAAGTGGATTCTCTGGAGTGTGAGGTGTCCTGCAGGACTGAGGGCCCACACGTGTTGTGCATGTTCTTCTCTGATCTCTATCAGCAGATCCCTCAGTGGTTGAGTCATGTGTCCACTCACCACGATACTAAACAGGTGGTTCTGGGGCAGCCAGACCCCTGCCTGCCTCAGTTTCCTCTCCTGTAAAATACAGGCTTTCTTGTTAAGAGCAATCAGGGTTAGGGTTAGGGTAGATGACCTGGAACACACCGTGAGCAGAGACAAGCCACTCACTTTAACACCCATCTCACTTTTGCTCTGCAGTTCTCGAGTGCAACCTACAGGGCAGTAACCGCAGATGTGGTGGGCAGGGTGACCTCCTGTCGGGATTCCTGGGTGTTCTAGTGCAGTGGGCACTCCACGCCGGACCTGAGAAAACAAATGGGTATGCCACATCTTCATCTCTCCCACTTTGAAATTTTTGAACTATGTAAGCTATTTTAGTAGCTCATATGTTTCATAAATAGCTACCTGGAATGTTCCAAATGAAATACTGGTGTTACTGTCAAGGCAGGGGTTGATCCTCAAATTTTCACCTGGGGAGTTTTTACTTAAATCTGGGCCCCTTTCCTGATAATTCTAATGTGCAGCCAAGTTGGAGGACACTGTTCTAGAAGGTTCGTTGCATACCTACTATAAAACAAAATAAAAAATATGCAGGTGAAGGTAGAGCTTACCTTGATGCTGTCTTGGGAGACGAGTTTTCTTTAAGAGGCAGCAGCATTCTAGGATCTGGGCTTTGACCTACTTCTGTTCTTAACTTATGAGTGAACTCTGGCAGTTCCTACCCCTCTGTGAGCCTCAGTTTCTCTTCTCTGCACCCTTCATGATGATAGATGGCCACACATGCCAGGATGGGACGTCCTGGGTCTGGAGGGCCCTGCCTGACACCTGGAAAAGCAGTGTCGGGCCTGTGTGGTTGCAGCACACCTGGCAGGCAGGGAGCAGTCCCCAAACGGGTCCATGTGTGCACAGGGGAAGGAGCGACAGCGGAAGTCTAACAATGTTAGGAAGAACCTGCATTCTCAGATTTGGAATATTTCCTACTTCTAGATGCTAATCAACAAGTCCTGGTCTGGTTTTCACCAGGGAAAATGCTTTGTTCTAACCTTCCTCCAGTTGGATAGGTATTTTTGATATGGCTTTTGTCAGGGAATATCAGTATCAGAGGATTAATGGTTATTTTAACTGTAGTATAGCTGCCTTATGCCTCAGTGGCATATCAGACGAGAAATTGCCAATTTGGGGTCTCAGAGTGGAAATGGGAAGGAAATCGGTGCCTTGGTGGGTGGCTTCAGGTCCCTAATGTCTGACAAAGCCATGGAGGGAGGACTTGCACCTCCCACAGCGCCTTGCTAATGTGTCTGCCCTGCAGTTTCAGCCCCCTCCTCGTGGCTGCCTTTGGTGCGTGCTCCCTCACAAGGCAGTGCAACCACCAAGCCTTCCAGAAGTATGGCCGCTCCACCACTACCTCGGACATGATCGCAGAAATCAGACCTGCATTCAGCAGACTCTTTGAAACCTGAGCCGATGCAAACGAGAAGAAAGTGAGCACCATGGTGGGAGAAATAGCATTTGTAATGGGAAAGGCCACGCACGTCCAGTATGTCTGAATCTTCTGGGTACCAGAGCAGCACAGGCTGCTTAGGAGGCTTGGAGTCTAGGCTACATGGGTGGATGTAGACAATGTAAGAATTGGGAATAAGTAATTTTTGGCTAAATTAATATGCAATTTGAGACATGACACTAAACAAAGTACTCCCAGCAATAACAAAAACATGGAGAATCATTTGAAAATGAGAAAGTCTTTAACCATTCAACTGAATTTGTAGGCATTTGTGCAAGAAGTTCCCCTTATTAGGTAGTTCTCTCAAAGGGATCCAGCCATTCGTTTCCAAATAGCTTTGAGAATAATGAGGTTTGTTTTTTTTAAATTGAGATCCACCAAAGGATGTGGCATTTACTTTAGCTAATTTTTAGTTTTCAAACTGTGATTATGTTGAAAAGGTCTGGGCAGAAATACTAAGTACTGGCTGTTTGGGTTAATTGGTTAAAGTATTCAGAATAATCAGTAATCAGTTTGACCTTGGAAATTTTTTTGGAGGCACCATGGGAATATCCAGGAAGGAAACTTAATGGGACACTGATACTTGAATGCCCTGGTGGGACCTCTGGAATACCTTGTATCTTACACTTGCACTTTTTCATGCCTGTGCATACAAGTATGTGTGGTGGCTGGTGGGGCCTAGCAGAGTGTGCATGAGTGGGTGGGGTGCCATGTTCCTGATGTGGCCACTGGTGTGTTCTCTTGGGAGGATGGCTTCAGGATGATGGGGCTCTGGGGGGACTGAACAGAGCATAACAGTAGGCTTTCTGGGTTGAAAATGGGGGAAATGGGTGGGTATGTCCTCAGGAAGATTTAGATTCCATTAAAGAAGTTGATATATCTGAAATCGTTGTAAATGAGATGTTTTGTTGTCTTGCTAGCCTCTGGTTCACTTTTGTTTGGTTGTGTGAGTTGTTTTCTTAGTGGCCTGAGAGACTTGTTTCTGTCGCCATTTCTCCGTGGGGGTTTTGGTTCCTAACACATGCATTTGAGTGTTCTCTTACTGTTTAGTGATGCTGGTTCCTTTAAAAGTCTGTCTGCCCTGATGATTACACATGGGTGAAGCTCTGTGGTTCAGATATGTCACCCCAAACAGATCTTACTTTCTTTAAACCAGCCATGAACTTTTAATTATTAAAAGGGAGACCTGGTTTATTTCAATGTAGAGTTTTACTTATTTTTTTCTTAAGTAGCCAAAACCCATCTTTCAGCTTCCTAAGTTGAGGACATTGTTAGGTATTAGGGACATAAACATATATAAGCTTATCTATCTAATGTGTTTTTCACCAGTGCTTTACCAATATTACTAAAGTAAATAATTTGAAGCATAAGCCTGAAATGTCACCATTTCTTTACATATAAATGAAATTTAGCAGTCATAGGAACTATTCCTGTGTATTTGTTACTTAAGTTTTTGCTCTAAGTACAAAATATCTGCTTAAAAGGGAGATAGGATATACCCAAGTAGCCAGGGACTGATACTTTTAAATGAAGTTAGTAATTGCTTCCTTGTTCTTCCGTCAACCCGAGCATCCTCACAAGCCCAGCTAAGGACACTTACTGGCAGCTTCCCTGAGACCAGGAAAGCAGCACCGAACTGCTGGTGGGCAAGTTAGGCATCCGGCCAACAGGGGACAGTCTGCTTCCCCAGTACTGATTCGACCTGTTTGGATGTCTCTCTGTAAAGGGCCTGCCTGCCACCTGGGTCTGCACTCTGTCATGCACTATGCACTACTTGAGTCACTTTTAGCGTGTCAGCTTCCAAACAGGTTTCCTTATCTATACAAGAGAAATGCCTTTGAGGGTCATGAATGTCAATGACAAAGTAAACATGGCTACAGAGCCACACCAAGCTATCCACAGCTCTGCCTAGCGTGTGCTTACCTGCTGCCTGAGGCTGCACCCACCCAGGACCTGAAAGTTGGGGGAATTGGCAAGAGGATCACCCTCTTTCCTATGGTTAACCAAACAGCTATAGCTCCCCACCTGTGCAGAAAGGTGAGGGGACTGAGATCAGGCCAGTAAGCTCAGTCCCAGGTAGTCTGCCGTGTGCTTGAATTCCTGGCGTTGGTCTCCTCTGTCACACCTCTATGTCCTGCTCGCACTCCTGCTGTCCCACTCCTTCAAAGTGACAATTCCCCGGTTCATCACTGCCCAGCACTTGAGGTACAGGCTGTTTCCTCCTGCTTCGGAGCAGGCAGCATGGCCAAATCCCCACAAGATCCTCTTGGGATAAGGGCTGTCCTGGAAGCTGTTGCCCTGTTGGCCCCACTCACAGGTCCCACCTACCTTCCTATGGCGTCTTCTGGGACCCCCATTTACGACTTACATTCCTGGGCTCTGGCTCAGGGACACAGGCTGGTTGGGTTATATCACAGATGATAATGTTGGCTGATTTAACTAAACTGCACTTGAGTCTGTGGCTGTTGGTACTATAAAGAAATCCATTTTTACACATAGTTACTAACACACCAATGGAATGATATCAGTTTGACTTATTTTAATGTTGACTAAATAGTCACAATGGAAAACTTTAATGTAAAGCTTCTATAGGGACTTAAGCAAGCACAGAGCCGCATTGTGAGCCTGTGGTTCCCGCTTCACGCATCCTCAGCTCCCAGGTTTGTGCTCTTCTGACCTCTGACCCAGCAGTTCCCATGTGGATGTGCTGCTTCTGTCCTGGGGGTGGGGGAGGAAAAAGGTCCTGGGTGCTTGAGTACACATGTCCCGGGGCCGCAGTCTCCCTCCAGTTTCTGACTCTGACCCTCTCCCAGGTCCCTCCACCTCAGTGTCCTCTTGGCTCTGGCCCCATCCCCTTCCTTTTCGTCACAGGATGAGTATCTGTGCTCACAAGCAGCATCAGTACACGGGATGTCTGAGCTTGGACCCTCCCCCATGTTTGCGTGATGCCAGCATCTCAGGGTGGTCGTCCCCATTGTCACTGGGCCTCGGTGGCAGTGGCTCACCTTAATACTGATGCCGTGGGCGGCAAGGTCCTGGCGTAGGGTGTCACATGCCTCCAGCAGGGGCTGCCTCTCTAGGAGCTGCTGCCGCCGGGCTTCCTTGGTAGCCTCTCCCGTAGCCAGGGCGAACTGCCGGACCTTGAGCCGGAATCGGACCAACTCCTCCACCACGCTGTGCAGCGTGGCTGAGCCGCTGTCCCCTGAAACAAACTGCACCAGGCAGAGTAGTATAACCAGTGAGATTCTGCTAGCAGTGAGCAGCTGTCCCATGCCCCCGCCCAACGGCAGCAGCAGAACCTGGCGGAGCTGTAAAGGAACCTGGGAGGAGGGGTGATTCCAGTGCCGGTGATGGTCACTCCCACCTGCAGTCCGACCATTCCCTGTTAACCACCTGTTCACATGCAGTGTTGTCTAAAATGGCTCTTTTAGCCTTTAACTTTCCCCATCCTCAACAGTCCTAAAGCCATTATGTGAAGCAGAGCAAGATCGGCTCTGTGGAGAGGTGGAGGGCCGCAGAGCCCTGTGGAGTGTCCATGCAGAGGGCAGCCTTCTGAGGGGACAGCCTCGGGTGCAAAGGGTGTCCAGGCAGGGATGGGAGTCAGCTCCAGTGAGTGAGGGGGGCATCCCACAGTGGGAGGCTGACTCTATACTGGGAGAAGAATACCTAAGGAAATACGATGAGGGTACTGGAAAGCAGGCTTCTCACTGTCACTTTTGTATGGAAAGTGAGGAAAGTAGAATGAACCCTTTGCTGGGAACCAGAATTGAAGTGGTGGTAACCCCTGGGTTTTAGTCAAGGTAGAGCGATACAGAAATGAACTTGGATATCGTGCACACAGTATGCCCACACTCATCTCCCTCTCTGCCCACCAAGGGCCCGGAGCAGCTGAGGCCCAAGCACAATGAGCACGCCTAGCACTTAGGCCCTGCCTTCTGACCACCTTTCTCTAAGAGTAACCAGGCCCCTCGGAGACACGGCCGATGCCTGGCTTGGTGCAGAGAAAGTACCAGACAAGACCAACAGCTGAAAGCACCCCAAGTCCTGAATAGACTCTGCCCCCAAAGGGCAAATGGGGAGAATCGGGAGCCCAAGGGGCTGGGGCTGGACAGCTCCTGTTTGTAGGAGACACACTGAGGGCAGCTTGGCTGGCAGCTTACTCAGGTGGCTCAGGAAAAATGTCCTTACGGTACAGCTGTCTGTACACTTTGAGATTCTTTCTAAACAAAAACGTAATAAAAATAAATAAATAAATACGAGTGTGTACAGAACTGATGACACACCACTCCAGCTAAAATGTGCTGTTGCTTCTCAGAATTGTTGCAGTTTCAGTTAAGATATTAGCTCTGAGTGTTGACTTTTTAAGGAATGTACTGTGTTTTTGAGCACATAAATTGGCATTTACAAGTATCCATTAAAGGGGAAAAATGGTTCTTATTGGATTGGCTTGTAAATATCCCACCACTGAGGACTGAAAAGAGAAGGGTGTACCTGTCGTTCTGCCAGAGAAATTCCAACCGTCTCAAAAAATTGCTCAACGTAGGAGATGATGGAGCCGAACACAGCAGGGCTCCTGGGACCGCCAGGCTCCTGTGACAGATGACCCAGAGAAGGCTCTTTAAAGGCAACGGTGTAACAGGTCACTTCTGCCTGCTGTGCCTCCATGCGGACAAGCTGGCAGGGGGCCCTGGACTAACTGCTGGAGCTGCCACTCTGCAAGCCAGACAACCCGGGTCAGTAACTTAATCCTGCACCTGAGCCCGCCCACCTAGAATATGGGGATGTTGTGGTCTGAACGCTTGCGTTCTGCCCAAATGCGTACATGGAAACCTAGCCCCCAGCATGATGGTGGTCTCAGGAGATGGGGTCTTCGGGAGGTCACTGGGTCATGAGGGTAGAGCCTCTGGAGTGACACCAAGGCGCAGAAAAGGGACAGGCCGGGTGGGCACAGAGTGAGTCAAAGTCCCAACATAGGGCTTCCTCTCTCATTTCACGTTTTAGCAGTGAACTCAGCTTCTCCGAGCAAACAGGAAGGCTGTGTGCTCCTGCATTAGCCAGCATGCAATGCCGGCTCTCAGTGTGCTGGGACCTCTGTGCCCACATAAGCCGCACCTACTGCTTGGGGCTCTGGGAGGCGGTGCCTCCTGCAGGGCCAGCAGGGCAGGCCCCATTCGGCTGAAGCAGCTTCAGGAACTTAGGGAAGGTCAGGAGAGGCCTGGAAGCCACCGGCTGTGGGAGATGGTTACCTGAGAGAGTTGGGAAGTGGCATCTTTTCTTTATGAGGGAAAACCAACCAAACAGAAACTCTATTTGTGGCCACTGGAGTTACCTTAGTGACCACCTTCAGCTGTCTGTTCGCCTGGTGAATGAGATCCAAGACGGCATCCACCGCCCCAGGCGTGTCAAAGTCGTCTGCCAAGGCGGCCTTCACAGCAGCCTGTGTGTGGTTGAGCCTTAGATGAGAAACACGTGTCACTCACAGCCGACAGCAGGTGGCCTCCCTCAGGCGGAGCAGGCTTGTGTCCCACTCCCACCCAGCAGCCCTCTCTTCTTTCCTCCCGTCAGCCCCTCCAGCGCAGTCTCCATGGTGGTCATCCTCCCCCTCTCCTCCCCAGCCCACAAGGACACTCAGGCCCCCTGCCTTCCTCTCTCATCTGTGTGGTCTCACCTACACACCCACTACCTGTCACAAGGCTTTACCTCGTCTAACTTGCCGTTGCCCCTCTTTACTGGAGGTAAAGGCCCCACTTGCTTTGGATCCTCCCCATCTCCGGGCCTGGGGCAGGACTGGGTCTGGGCCACCCTGCAGCTGGGTAGGCCCTGGGACCAGTTCTGGCCATTGTGAGAAGCAGCGTCCACATCTGGGCCAGAGCGTTGAATTGTGGAGGCAAAGCCCTGGGGCCCCCTCTTCCCTCCTGCCTGGCACCTGCCCTCACCCTCGTAGTGACAAGGGCCTCTGTTCAGTTCACGCTAATAAACACCAGTGGGAAAACCCATCCTGGCAAGTTATTTACAACCTTCACAGCCACCCACAGGCAGACCACAGACATGCCCGAGGCCACAGAGCCTGAGGGACCTTCCCACCAGCACTCAAGTAGCCTTAGTCTCCAAAAGCCTCGCTTCCCTCCAGGCGCTGGCGCCCAGGGCCCTCTGGGCAGATCTGGGAGAGCACCCACCTCTCCCACAGCACGTCTTCCCTGATGGGGCCGCACACCAGCTGCCCCTTCATGTAGGCCCGAGCATCCTGGGCGAACGCGGTCACGGCCCGGAGGAGGTGCTGAGCTTCCTGCATGGTGTTGTCGCTGTAGTCCACGGCTGAGGAAGGGGGAAGGATTAGCTGGGGGTGCCCGTCGAGCGTGCCCACACCTGCAGATTCAGTTTCTTAGCCAGGCCATCCTCACGCTACTCCAGAAACCCAGCAGTGGAGCGGGGACAGCTGCCCCTATCCTGCACCTCCCTGAGGCCTGAACCACACAGACCAGTCTGTCCTCACTTGGGTATCTCATCACCTCAGAAGAAACATGAAAAACCTCTCCCTCTACATTTTGGCTGAGGGGGCCCAATCTCGCTGACAGATGGACAGACAGCTGACTCTGGAAACTGAGAGACATCCACTTGGGTACCTGATGCAGATCAAAGACCACCTGGGCTTTGGGCTCAGTATTTCGGGAGAGGGAGAGGATTAGACCTCGAACTCAGCGTGGTAGAGTACATGAAGACAGATTTAAGAGCTCCCACCTGGGCCAGCCCACCCGAGCCACTGGACACCACGTCCAGGCTCCCACAAATGGCACAGCCAGAGGGATAGACGTGTCAGCTACTCCCCAAGTGGTGGGGGCCAGTGTCCTGGGTATCGTGCCTCAGTACCACAGATCTGGGGGCAAAAAACAGCAATTTCTTCTCTTGCAGCTCTGGGGGTAAAAACAACTGAAGTCAAGGGGTCAGCCGGGCTACCCTTTCCAAAGGTCCTAGGGGAGGGTCCTGCCTTGTCTCTTGCAGCTTCTGGTGGCCCAGACGTTCTTGGATTGTGGCTGCATCACCCCAATCTCTGCTTCCCTGGTCACATGGTTGTGCCCAGTGCACAGGCTGAGGAGCCAACCTACCCCCCAAGGGCACCTGTTGCTGCAGGACCATAGACACCGCCAGCATCTTACTGTCACAGTGGTCAAGTCAGGCAGGGTAGTGCCGGGTGTCCCCAGACCTGGCCTTCCAGGGAGAAGAGCCCTCTGGCCCTAGGGACATAGTGCTAGACATCCCCATCCCCCTCACCCCACCCCCACCCCCGAGCAGCACAGCAGGGCCTGCCTGTCCTGAGTGGGACGCATTTGAGGGCTCCTGGTTCCGTCCCTGTGTGAGCGCGGCCAGTCCAATTGTTGTGTTCATGGAGCAGGAAGTGGAGGGCACTCCGGGGCCCAGACCCCACAGAGGAGGAGAGGAGGGAAGTGGACGGGGAGGGCTGACTGGAAACCCATGGCCTCCATAAGCTTCTGGAACCTTCTGGCCCAGTGCTGGTATTATGCAATAGTGCATCCTCGGGCTTACTTTCTGAGCCCAAGCCTTAGGGGATGAACAACCACACTAACAAGACGGTGCTTATTACTCAGCCAGTACTTCGGTATTCCCCACACTGTCAGAGTAGTCTCTGCCCAGCTGCACACAGCAGACGCTGTGACCATCCCCCAAAGGCCCTGTCGGCTCACCTGACCTGTACCTGCTCCGCAGGCAGAAGAGCCGGAAGACGTCGGGGGAAAATGTCTTCAGAAAGTCCTGAGAGAGAGAGAGAGATGCGGGAGAGATGTACAGTGCTTGTCTTTCCCATTTGCATCACTCGGAGGTGAGCTCTCACACGTCCAGCAATCAGGAATGTTTATGAAAAGCTTTGTTTTGCATTCAAACTCTTAGCACTTTCCTTGCAATTTCCCTGCTGACTGTCCACATTCAGTCCAAGCGTCTGTGGGAAAGGCCGAGAGGAGAGGCCTGTCTGCCTGGAGAACCGCTCCACCGGGCGCATCGGGAGTCTGCTCTGCTGATGGCCTGGGAGCCTTCACCACGGCATGAGAGGACGGCCACCACCAGAGGCCACCCAGCAGCCTGGGAACCACAGAGAGACTGTGCTCAGGAAGGGACACAGGGAGGAGGAGGCACGCACAGCTCCTGGCTGAGTGAGAGGGACAGGCTCCCAGGAGCAGGAAGGAGACAGTCCAGAAAGCTTGGCTGTGGTAACGTCAGAACAAGCAACATCCATGCCCAGGCTGGACTGAGGGGAGAGGGCCCAGGTCATTCTCTCCAGTGACACTGAACTTGAAGCATGCCCAGGCTGGACTGAGGGGAGAGGGCCCAGGTCATTCTCTCCAGTGACACTGAACTTGAAGCAGGTATGTTTCTCAAAGAATAAACCATCCTGCCTCGATAAAAGTGAACGTAAAATAGCTCTAGCCGGTTTGGCTCAATGGCTAGAGCATCGGCCTGCAGACCAAAGGGCCCAGGTTTCGATTCTGGTCAAGGGCACATACCTCGGTTGCAGGCTCCTCCCCGGCCCAGGGCCTGGTCAGGGTGCATGCAGGAGGCAACCAATCAATGTTTCTTTCACATTGATGTTTTTCTTTCTCTCTGTCTTTCCCTCTCTCTTCCACTCTCTCTAAAAATCAATGGAAAAATATCGTTGGGTGAGGATTAAAAGAAAAAAAGTAAACATAAAATAAAAGCCCAATTGGTATCATCCTCTCGGTTATTTCCACAATGTCTGCATAAAGAAGTGAAAATTTCCATATCAGGAAGGATAACATGGGGAAACGTATCAGAAATCATTAAGACAGCACCATGTTCAACAAAACCTCTCTCTCTGGTGGTCAGTGGAAAGTTCTGCATGATTTTAAAGGGATAAGACAGGGTGAGGGAGGAAGCGGGGAAAGGGCCCAACCTCACGACGGGTTCCAGTGTGGCCCCAGGAAAGACACTAGGGCTCTGCTTGCCCAGCGAGGCCACCCACAGTGACCGTGCCACCGACTGACCAATGCTGGGCACCGAGGGAAACGGGCTCCGAGAGGAGTGTTTGAATCCTCAGAGAGTTAAAGGAGACGTTCTCAGCCCTTCTGTCCACCTGTCCACCCCTTTCTGTCCAATGGTATCTCTGGCCTCCCATCGGCAACAGCAACCAGCATGCAACAGCTGGGAGGAAACACCTGGCCTGGACCCCGTGCCAGGCTTGTGGGGGTGGGGGCTCTCGGGGGTTTCGGACGCTGTTTAGAAAGTAGCCCAGGCTGGAGCATCTGCTCTGGCGACGTGCTGGCTTTGGTGCAGGGCTTACACTAAGGGGCCACCTGGGCACACAAGTAGGTTAGACAAGGTCTCACCTGCTAGAAACACTGTCAAGAGTAAAAAAATAAAGATTCAGTTCAACAGTTGCATACACAAAAATATAATTCTCAAAAAAAAAACACTAAAACTTGATCTACCATATAATCCAGCAATTCCGCTTCTGGATATAAATCCAAAGGAAGCAAAAGCAGTATCTCAAAGAGAGATTTGCACTCCAGCAACAATGAACACACTAGGTGCTCAGATCTCGGTTCAAAGTTCCGTTTCCCCACAAAGGCAGCGAGGCACCTCGGAGAAATGGCCGGTCTGGGAGGATGCACAGGTGAACAGGGCCGAAAGGAAGGACGCAGGCGAGACACGAGCCCAGGACACAGGAGCTCATTATGTAATGTGTCCAAATGAGGGGTAATTTCAGCACAAAAAGGATACAAACTGAGTTGATAATACACAAAGTAAATCCTTAGGTCTGTAGTGACACTGAAAAGAAACAGAAAGACAGACAAAAACCCTTTCTTTAAAGGGGAATGCTAACTAGTAAATGTAAAGAAGCAACAGAATGAGACCTGCACAACTGCAAGAATCAATGAAAGGAGCACCAAGGTGGAGCGCACCAAGGATGCCAAACCTGCAGGGCAGAAGGCTGCTGGGAACAAGATACTGACATGACATTATCTCGCAGGTTCTCGATATTCACAAAAAGGAAATAAACATCTCTACAGCAGACACTGTGGCCATCCCCTAGCCAAGCAGTCAAATGTATCATCACTGGGTCCCACAGTCTGACGCTGTGGCCCCAGAGGAAGTCCACAGCACCACTGATGGAGTGTTTCCGCCAAGCAGGTTTGACCTAAATGGAATCAGCCTTGAGACCTCACTTCCAGTTACAGGAAATACGGGAGCTAGAAGAACAAGTTAAATGACACCACAAAGCAATAGGCAAATTCTAGATGTGGGGTGTTCAGAAAAAATGGCCTGGTTTTTTCAAAAAGTCAATGCCACAGGGAAAATAAAAGTAGAGAGGCAGTTGTAGAGTAGAAGCCTAAACGGAACAGTGGACTATTATTCAGCTTTAAAAAATAAGCAAGTCCTGTCACACTCTACAACACAGATGAACCTTGAGGACATTATGCTAAGTGAAATCAGCCAGTCACAAATGACAAACACTGTATGATCCCACTTTTATGAGGTGCCCAGAGTGGTCAGTCATGGAAACATAAAGTAGAATGGTGGTTGCAGGGGAGGGGGGAAGGGGTATATGTTCAATGGGTGCAGAATTTCAGTTTCGCAAGATGGAAAAGTTGTGGAGATCTGTCACACAACCATGTGAGCATAATACACTCCTGAACTGTACACATAAACACGGTTAACATGTAGATTTTACGTAATGTGTTTTTTACCACTATTAAAAACAATTTTTTTAAAGCCTAAGATAACAACATTCAAATGCAGCGCATAAACCTTGATTGGATCCTGGTTAAAAAATAAAGCTGTAAAAGGCATATTGGGATAAATGCAGAAATCAAAATATGGGTTACAATTGGTATTGTTAAGAAATTATTGCTTAGGAAGAAGGGGGATGGGTAGAGGTGGAAGAGTATATGGTGGGTTAAATGGTGAAATAAAAAAAAAACATAATAAATTATTGCTAACTGTTTAGGTGTTTAGGTTACATAGGAAAGCATCCTTATTTTTAAGAGTTGCATGCAGAAAAGAATTCTCATGATGTCTAAATGTATTTTCGAATGGTTCAGCAACAATAACACACACACAAATACTAAATTATTGAATCTACATGGTGAGTATATAAGTATTTCTTCTAACTTTTCTGTATGTTTGAAAATTTGTATAAGATAATATTAGACATTTCTATTTATGTAAAGTACATAAAGACTATTTTTGAGGAGCACACCCCTTTTGGTTTATTATAAATCTGCTGTGAATAGCTTCAGTGGTTGGTATTTAGGTGATGAAGGGCTGTTTACTATCCTTGTCAACTAAATTGGGCATTATGGACCCCAAGGCAAGGGAGGATCAAGCTGTGTTTAAGTATTCTATTAGTGCCCTCGATCGCCATTCATACAGAAATTCACATTTCAGTCTGCATTTCCGCAACACAGTGAGATTCTCCAGGTAGGGTAAGAAGCCAGCAAAAAGCAAAAATCAGTCAATCAAACAAACCCAAAGCTACACTAGATAGGAGGGGGCTGGTGATGGAACAAAGGGACAAAAACGGGGGAAGGAATCCAGCAAATGTAATTCAAAAGATAAAATCATTAAAAACAAAAAGGGGAGGAAGAAGTCCACCACTAAAGCCGACAGAGCCTTGGCCCGTGTGGCTCAGTTGGGCATCCACCCGTGCACTGAAGGGTTGCTGGTATGATTCCTGGTTAGGGCACATGCCCAGGTTGCAGGCTCAATCCCCCCCCCTCCCCCGCCCCCCCAGAGGGCTGCTGATTGATGTTTCTCTCTCTCCCTCTCCCTTTCTCCCTAAAAATCGATAAAAGTAGTATTTTTTTTTTAAGCCAACAGAAGCCCTGGCTGGTATGGTTCAGTGGATAGAGCGTTGGCCTGCGGACTGAAGGGTCCCAGGTTCGATTCCCAGTCAGGGCACATGCCCGGGTTGCAGGCTCGATCCCCAGTGTGGGACGTGCAGGAGGCGGCTGATCCATGATTCTCTCTCATCATGGATGTTTCTCTCTCTCCCTCTCCTTTCCTCTCTCTGAAATCAATAAAAATATTAAAAAAAAATAAATAAATAAAAAGCCAACAGAAAACAGTGGAGAGCCACACAAGGAGAGAGAACAGAAAATAGAGAAATACCACTGTGCACTTTTCAGACCAAAAAAAAAAAAAAAGAGTATTTAGCCCCAGCTGGTTTGGCTCAGTGGATAGAGCATCAGACTGTGGAACAAAGGGTCCCAGGTTCGATTCTGGTCATGGGCACATGCCCAGGTTGCGGGCTCGGTCCCCAGTTGAGGGCATGCAGGAGGCAGCTGGTCAGTGATTCTCATCATTGATGTTTCCCTCCCTCCCTCCCTCCCTCCCTCCCTCCCTCCCTCCCTCCCTCCCTCCCTCCCTCCCACTTTCCCTTCCTCCCTCTCTGAAATCAATAAAAAGGAAAGAAGAAAAAAAGAGTATTTAGACCCGGAAATAGGAGAAGCCCCTGAGGGCCATGGGGAAAGGGCAGCCAGAGAAACTGGGAATCAGAGATGTGGGGTCTCATATACGCATCAGCCTTTAACAAGGTTCAGCAAGCTGGCAGCAACGCAGGAGAGCACATTACCTTAACCGTGATGTAGTTTTTCAGTGATTTGGACATTTTTTCTTCTTTGCCTTTTACATGCAAGTGTCCTGAGGAGAAAAAACACAGTCATTCACTCTGCATTGGGGGGAAGAGAGGGACTGCTCCGTCCCATCTGTACAGGGGAAGGAGGTAAAGTGGGCGCTTCTCCAGCAGGTGCCTGAGCACAGGGCTCCGACTGCAGCTGCCTGGGGAACTGGAAGGAAACCGTAAGTGCTGCTCTCTCCAATATGCAAACACCTGTGTACATGTGGGTGGAAGATTTCCCCAAATCACCCACCGTCAACCCTCCAGGAAGATGGAGCCCACAGCTGTGCCGGTTCAAGGGCATCAGGTACACCCAGCCCACAGTGGGCAATGGACAGGAACCTCTGCTGAGTCAGAACTCAGACAGGAACAGATGGACTGTGACACTCAGAAACAGTGCACACTCTACCCCTTTCCTGTAACTTAGAAAGGATGCTTTAACCGACTCAACACCTGAAGAAATGACAAATCTCTGGTTTTGCAAACCAGGCACCCACCCGGCAATAAAAGCTGCTTACAGATGTTCAGAATTGCAACGTGGGGCTTGCAGGTCTCTGAGAGCAATTAGATTTTCTGTTGCAACTGAATTTCACAGACTTATTAGACCTTGGTATTACCCAAGTATGTGAAAGGCCAGATTCATTCTCCCTTGTGTCAGGAGGCACTGCTGTTTCCTTCTCCAGGACAGGTGTGAATGTGATGGAGAAGCGTAGAGTGCCTTAACACTAGATTGCCCAAGGAAGTCATTTTGACTGCTTTTTAATTTCAATTAGAAAAACAATTATGTATATAAGGACACAATGTCTTAGAATTTTGTGACTTTTTGTACAACATATAAATGCGTTTATTAATAATTGTAGTTACCTCCCCCTCCTTCATT